AAATGCTCGGTCAGATGGTCGTCGGCCAGGCTGAGTCTGGGTGTGAGGTGCAGAGATGGCTGGGCGAGGGGCGATGCCGCCTCACCACGCCGACGAAATCAGCCATCCCAGCAGTGCCCAGCCCGCACACTGCCATCCTGGCAGGGGACTCCTGTATCTCCTGGGATGACCGCGCCCCCTTCCCCTCACTCCCGCACACCACACCCACCTCGATCCACTTGTCTGCGATGGCCATGTTGAGGCGGTAGTCGAACCCGACGCCGCCCTCCTGCCAGGGCCTGCAGAAGGTGGGCATGCCAGACACGTCCTCCCCGATGGTGATGGCCGTGGGGAAGAGGTCGTGCAGCGTGTTGTTGACCAGCATGAGGTACACCACAGCGTCGACGTCGGTGGCCATGCCAAAGTACTCGTCGTAGTTGCCGGTGAAGGCCACCTGCAGGCCGTGGTGGTGGTACATCATGGAGGTCACGCCGTCGAAGCGGTAGCCGTCGAACTTGTACTCGTCCATCCACCAGCGCGAGTTGGAGAGCAGGAAGCGCATCGTCTCCCAGTTGCCGTAGTTGAAGCAGCGCGAGTCCCACATCCAGTGGAAGCCGCGGCCGCCGCCGTGGAAGTACATGCCGTCGGTGCCGTCAAACATGTTGATGCCGTCCTGCGTGTTCTTGGAGGCGTGGGAGTGCACGATGTCCATGAGCACCACCAGGCCCAGACGGTGGGCCTCGTCGATCATGGCCTTGAGCTCGTCAGGGGTGCCGCTGCGGCTGCTCACGCCGAAGAAGTTGGTCACGTGGTAGCCAAAGGAGCCGTAGTAGGCGTGCTCCTGGATGGCCATGATCTGGATGGCGTTGTACCCCAGCGACCTGTTTTGAGGGTGGAGTGGGGGGGGGGATGGGGTACAGGGGAAGGAATGGATGCCCAGGGTGCAGGGAATGGAAGGCTCAAGGACTGGAGGGGCGGGCACCTCCTCATGATCGAGCGTCGAGGAGCTCGCGACCGCCAGGCCAGCAAGGGCCCCCCCCAGTGCCTGCAGCACAGCCTTGGGTTCCGTTCCCTGCATGTACCAACCCTGAAGTCGCAGCAACCACCAAACCCTAACAAGTACACCCCACAGGAACACACCGGATGCGGGGCAGGACCTCCTCCTTGAACTCCAGGTAGGAGTTGACCTTGGGGTCCTTGGAAGACATGCCCACGTGGCACTCGTAGATGCGCAGGTCGCGGGGCCTGGCGGGAGGGGCCGTGCAGACGTCGGGTGGGGTGGGGGTGAGGACTGGTCCCCCATCGCATCATGGGCGAGCCGGCACAGTGCACACTTCCCACCCCCCCAAGAGTCTCGCCAGGGTGTCCCACTCCCGCTGACGCACCGGTCCGGGCGCGGGTACTTGAATGTGTATGCCTTGTTCTCCTCGTAGACCCCCGGGGCGCCCGCCTCCAGCGGCTGGTAGTGCACCCCGTTGTACTGGATCTCGTTCCACTCCTGCGTCGCCCACTTGATCCAGGCAGGTATGCGCTCCACCCACTCCCCGTACGCCGTCTCCAGCCGAGTCTTGATCTTGGTCCTGGTGTGGTGTTGTGGAGAGGGGAGGGGGTCGGGGGAGGGAGCATGGGGAGGCAAGGAGTCCCGAGCAGGGCGGCAGGCATCGGCACCGACAGCAATGTGCGCCGGCGCAGCTGGCCGGGAGAACAGCCCTCCCAGCCAGCCTGCGCTGTGGCCCGCCCCGCCCACCTGTGGGCGATGGCTGGGGTGCCGTCCTCGTTGTCGGGCAGGAACAGCTGCCAGACCCCAAAGTCGTTCCTGGTGGCCCAGTGCTCGGGACCCGCCTTCCACCCATTGTACTCCCCAATCAGGGCCACCGCCTGCGGTGAGGTGCAGGGCGGACTGGCGTGGGCGCCGGGCCTCGAGCAGAGGATCAGGCGCTGACACTGATGAAAGCAGCAGCGCAGTGCAGTCCTCGTCATCCATCCGCTGTGCAAGCGCCATGCCCGGCCGCTCCCCCAGTCCCTGCCACCTTTGCACCGGGCGCCCACTCCCGATACCAGAGGCCCTTTTTGCCCTCATGCTCGCCGCGGTTGATGCCGTAGTATTTGTACCCTGTGGGAAAGCGATGGACAGCCTCAGGCGTCCGGATGTGCTCAAAGACGGTGGGTCTGCGATGTCTGAAACCAGCGGCCACGTCACACTTCGGCGTCTACACAGGCATAAGCATTGGGACGAATGGTCTGGTGTTCAGGACTCCGCATTCAGAAAACATGTGGCCGATATCACACAGCATCACCCACCCTGCGAGAACTTGTCTAGGCCGCCCTCGTTGGCATCAATGGCTGACCGGATGCTTTTGAAGATATGCCACCGATACTGCAGGCAAGTGAGGGGTGGGACACGAGGATGGAGAGAGGAAGGCCATGAGAGGGAGGCTGTCGCCTTCTAATCCAGCTTCCCACCCAGTGGGTTAGCTGCCGCCCTTCTAACATGCAAGCCCCTCCTGGCCAGACGGCCCCGGTCATGAAAGTTTGACTGCTCTCCTCAAGCGTAATCATGGTTTGGCATACCTTGAAGTGATCAGCATGGCTCCAGAGGGAAGGGTCCCACTTCAGACACTCGGTCCCATCATGGTCCGGCACAGGGGAGATCTGACCCGGGACTTCCTGGAACTCAAACATGGGGTTGGGAGGATGTCGAGCCAGAGACGAGGCTGAGATTCACACCTCAGCATCCATCCCCTTTGCATAAAGGTCATCCTGGTCCACATGCACTGCCGATCCCGTCTGCATCCTACTCGAGGAGCGCAACAAAGAGTGCCCGGTGGGACGTCTTCAGCTCACCACTGCACCCATTCTCCCCAACCCAACCCAGCCCCCTCCATCCTCGCCACACCTGGAATGCAACTCCGTCAGGCACATGCTTGACTGGAGACCAGAAGTCCTCTGGATCTTGTGGCTCTGGATTGGAGGTCTTAGCAGCCGTGGCGCCGCCATTGCTGCCATTGGTACGGGTGGAGCCCACCGTGGCAGTGCTGAGGGGCGGCACTTCCACTCCTGCATCGGACAGCTTGCCCGAGAGCTTCTTCACTGCACCATGAATGAAAGAGACCGGAATGAAACTTGTTGCCGGCTTGTAGGTGGAGCGCACACAGTCGATTGAGCTGATCGAGCAAGTAGCAGGCCCTGCATCGACTCTGCCCCAGGAGCCCCATGCACACCGGAGGCCTCGGTCTTGTTGATGGACTGCTTGAGTGCCGCATTCTCGCGCCTCGCGACGTCGATGGGAGATTGCTGATTCTCTGGAGTGGCACTCACCGGCACAAAGCGGGAGCCTGGTCGGGGAGCGGCGTACTGAGGGTGACGTCGTGGGCCCCGGGCAGTGGGGGGAGGCCGATGTGGGATCCATGCCGGCCCTACACACACCCCGACACCGCACCTCGCCCACAATGCTTGACACTACAAGGCACGGCGCGGGGTCGTGCGCCTGGCGCCACTGGCATGGCCACCCCGCGAGTCCCCGCGAGCTTGAGCTGGGGCGCCATTCTCCTCGGTATTGAGTCAACCCTGGGAGCCGGCTGGATTAGACAATCCGCATAACCCCAAAGCTACAGCGATGGTAGGTAGCGGTGTGATGGGGCTGCTGTATCGAAGCACCCTGTTGGGATCACAACTGGTTGCTTCTCTCGGCGCTCCTGCGCTGGTGCACGGTGGAAAGACTGCCTCTATGCACATTGTGATCCCCAACCCGCGGTTCGTGTTTCTCCTCGAACAACATCGTGGTATGACTGTTCGCTACACATAGGTTGAGGCATTGCCATCGCGAGATCGGAAGGCGCATGTTTTGGGGCAGGGTAGGTGTAGCAACTCCCGTCATTGCGCTGCCTCCCCTTCATCTCCGTCCTCCGGGATGGAGGGTTGGGTGGAGTGCGCGCGACCGGTGGAGCCACCCTTGAGGTCCTCTCTTAATCTCTTCAGCTCCTCCTCCCTCCTTCGCTGCTCCGTTTCGGCGTGCACCTGTTTTCGATCGCGGGTGTTGATGAAGGGAAAGCTCGGTATCGGGATGCGTCCGAACCCTACTCCAGCACAGATTCAACGCCCACGCTTTCACACGAGCCCAGCAATATCCAATGGCTCTCCCCTTCCCCGACTCACCGCCTTCCTGCGATTGAGTTCCGGGAGGTAGCCTGCCTCGTACTCTTTACGGCACTCCGCCACAGCCGCCATGAAATCGTCCATCCCCTCTCCAGTGATGGCAGAGACGCCCACTGCCTTCAGATTCTCGTAGAATTTCTCCAGTACGAGGGACATGGACCTGATGGCGAGCTCAAGGTGTGAGGGCAGGATGGAGTGAAGGTGTGCAGTGCTCGGCGAGGCCAGGGGAGCCGATGTAAAGCTGGAGGGGGCCAGATTCCACCAGCTTGCCTGTCATCCTCCAGTAACACCTTGTAAATTATCTTTTGGATTCTGCACTTCCCCCGGCCTTTTATGGAGTACGGACACACACCTGCTGAGGCTGGCTGCGTAGGTCGTATCGGATGCCAGGGCCTCGTGGAAGATCTCAAAGTCCTGCATCCACTCCACCGCAAAGTCGTGCCGCGCCACGTCGACCTTGTTGAATGCGAGGAGCATGGGAAGCCGTGTCTTGTACAGGATGCTGCATGCCTGTGGTGTGTGTGTAGTGGGGGGGAGGGTTCAAGCGCTGAGCCCTAAGCGCCACTCGTATGTCTGACGTGTGATATTCCGAGTCGCTGGCCGTGGAACCACCAGGGCCCACTGACCTGCAGCATGTTGCTCATGAAGGTCTGGGGAGCGGTGCATCGTGGCGTGTCCACCACAAAGACCACAGCGGTGGGCAGCACTGTCGCAAACGCCTCGGTGATGATGGCCCCGGAGGCCGACCAGGTGAAGATCTCGATCTGGCCGGGGGTGTCTGCCACCACAAAGTCTAGAGGGGGGTCCCGCGGCTTGGTGCACAGGTCTATGACCTGGTCGAAGCGCGTGGCAAACAGGTTCAGGGAGGTGAGGATGGCGCCATTGGGACCCAGCGAGTACTCCTTCATCACATTCTTGTAGTGGATCTGGTGAGCGTGTGGATGTGGGATTGGTGTCAAGACAAAGGAGGGGGAGGCGTAGGCCGAACGGGATGAGGGTGGGGACGGCGCAAGGTAGATTCCTCGCAGGCCTGCATGCTGATGCTGGACCAACACCCTCGACCACTGCGATTTCTCAGGGCAGCCTCCGACTCCAACACTTTAGAGTGGCATGCAGCACAGCTCTGGTATGGCTCTGAACCTATGTCCCTGCTCCCTTGACCCATCTCGCACCGTGTCTCGGATGTCGACGTTAGAGTTGTATGGCACCTTGGCGACGGCCGGGTCCAGGTTCAAGAGGTAGCCAGTCTTGCCAGTGGCAGAGATGTGGGAGGCCAGGCGCTGCACGAACGTGGTCTTCCCAGATCCTGCCATGCCTGTGGAGCAGGCATCCTAGAGGCTCTGGTCTGTATCTCTTGCTCACAGAAGAAATGCAGAGAAACCCAATCTGGCTTCTCGATCCATCGCCGCTGCTTACTTCCAAAACCAAACACGCCCTGTCCTACCTATGATAAGGAGCACCGTGGGGGCTGTTTCTCCCAAGGTAGATGGCGCGGCAGTGTCATCATTTAAGGTCAGGCGCTGCAGTGCTTCGTCCGGGCTCGTCATGGTGAGGTGGTTCCCAGGCCGCAGTCACTATCTCACTGCAAGTCTCCGCTGTCCCAATATGCATCTAAATATACAATACAATTTTAGTTTCTATGGCCGTATGAGTCCATATGTTGTCGCTGTTTATGTGTCAGGGCGCGGGCGCTGTCGGGGTTCTTCCCGATCGCGCGCGCGCGATCACAGTGCCCACGACCAAGCCCAAGCTTCCATCTTGTCCGTCCCCTGGTACTTGAGACCCATTCGATGGTCGAATACTGCATCTCGACATTAGCATAGCCCCCCGGCGTGCATGACTCGGAGCACTGGCTAGCTGGGGCCAAGGCTGGCTCAGCCCCTGTGACCGTATTTGCATCCTTTGGTGAGGACAGCCATGTCCACACCCGGGCAGGTGCTGGATGTGAGATTTGATACCGTCCGCAAGGAGACCATCGAGCAGCTGCGCACCCTGAACCGGGTCATCTTCCCGCTGAACTACTCGGACAGGGTGTACGCCGACATCCTCGCCTGCGGCCCCGTCTCCCAGCTGGCCTTTGACAGGGATGGCGAGCTGGTGGGGGCCATCGCCTGCCGCCTGGAGAACACCCCAGAGGTGTGTGATGCCGAGGAGCTCCCCAGCCTGAATTGCAGGAAGGCGTGCAGGGTGGTCATATGGGTGCTGCTGGCACCGGCCACACCTTGCATGGTGACATAAGAGCGTCCTGGGCAGCCAATCCCCGCCCCAACACAGCCCCCCCTCTCCTTCCCTCCTTCTCTGTGCCAAGGGCCCGGTGCTGTACATCCTGACACTGGGGGTCCTGGCTCCATATCGGCGTCTGGGCGTGGGTGCTCGCCTGCTCGGCAATGTGCTGGGCATCGTGACTCGTGACCTGCCGGAGGTGGTGGCCGCCGTGCTGCACGTGCAGGTGGGCAACGGCGCCGCGCTGGACCTCTACCGGCGCGCGGGTTTCAGCGTGGGGCCTGTGGTTCCGGGGTACTACCCCCGTCTCAACCCCCCCGACGCCGTGCTGCTCCGCAAGCAGCTCCGTGACTGACTGGGAGTGGCGGCGCGGCGACGATTGCGCCGGGCCCAATTGTCGGTGCCGAGCGCTGTCTGTGAGGGTGCTACGTTGGGACGCCTCTGATCACCCGCAACCCCTTCCAGAGTGCAAAGACTGTTTTCAGACCCACTGTACTTTTTCTTCCCTGGCTTTCACTTGGTCCTTTCCTCAGCACTGTAACAGAGCACACTGCAGGATGCTATGGCCGCGGATTGAAGCATGCAGCTCCGGGGGTGGGTGCAGAGCGCGAGATGGCTCGCTGCAGGCATCAGCCCCCCTCCTTCCCACATGTTTCCCTTGCCACACCTCAGTTGATGCCCAGGTCGGTCTCATACACCTCGATGCTCTTGAACAGCTCCGAGAAATTGCCCTTGCCGAATCCGCCGCAGCCGCCCACCTCGTCCGGGTTGGCGGCCAGGGGGCAGGCCTGCGCGGTGGCGCGCGCGGCGCGCAGCGTCTCCTCGCTGGGCTGGATGTGGCACAGGCGCTGGATGATCTCCACAAACACGGTGGGCCGGTCGCCCAGCGGCTTGGTGAAGATCTGGAGCAGCACGCCCTGGTCGTCGCGGTCCACCAGCAGGCCCAGCTCCTCGGCCTCGGACAGCTGCTCGGGGGTGAGCGCGTCGCCCACCTTAGACGGCAGGTCGCGGTAGTAGGCGTCGGACGGGCGGGGCATGAACTCGAACCCGCCCGCGTCGCCCACAGCGCGCATGGCGCGCAGCGTGGCAAACACGTCGTCCGTCTTCAGCGCCAGGTGCTGCAGCCCGGGGCCGCCGTTCTGCTCCAGGAAGGTCTGGATCTGGGACTTGCGCCGCGTGCCCCGCGTCGGCTCGTTCACGGGCAGCAGCACCATCTCGTTGTTGCTGGCCAGCACCATGGAGTTCAGGCCTGAGTCGATCGTGCCCACGTCCTCCGCCGTGAACTCGGCGAAGTCGTGCAGGCCCAGCGCGCGCGTCAGGTAGTCCACCTGCGCGCCCAGGTCGGGCACGTTGCCCACCGCATGGTCGGCGCGTCGGATGCCGAAGCAGCGGGGGCTGGGGCGCGCCTCTTCCTCGTACCCCGGCAGGTAGGAGCCGGAGTAGTCGCCGGACAGGAAGCGCAGGACCACGTCGCCGTACAGCACGATTTCCGACACCGTCAGCGACCCGCGCGCGTCGGCCAGCCGCGTAGGGGGCTGCACGGGGATGCCGCCATTGGCGGTGGAGATGCGGAAGGCCTCCGCCGCGTCCTCCACCACGATGCCTAGGAAGGGGGGAAGAGAGTGAGGGTGTGAAGGGGGAGGGGAGTAAGAATGTGAAGGGGCTTGGAAGGCGTACCTCGGTACTTTAGATGAGGATTGCACACATGCTCGTGATATGGACAGTGCAAGAATCAGGGGGCCAAGAAGGGGCCGGGCAAACATCCTGACGCCAGGCTGGGGTCCCAACAGTATCACACTGGGTCAGACATGCGCCAGAGTGGATCTGCAAATTGACTGCAGCTCATCACTGCGCCCGCTGGATGTGCATCCGACCATCAATTCCCCCCACGACACTGCACCAAATCCTCCCACCGCAGCCGACATACCCACTGCGCGGACGCCCAGGCCGTGGTTCCTGTTGAAGGTGTGCGCGGCGTCGACGTCGTACCAGGGGACCGGGGAGCCGGCGTCCGGGCCGGAGGCCTCGCCCCCCGCGCCGTTGTAGGGCGCAGTGAAGGTGAAGATGAGCTGGTTGGAGCGCATGACATAGCTGGCAAACTTCTGGTTCCCTGTGCCCTGGTCAGACTTGGCTACCTGGGACAGCCCCAGGCCCAGGCCAAACCTGTGTGAGTCGGGGGGGGGTGGAGGGAATCCTGGGGTGCATTGCTTAAGGATTGAGCACTGGGGCCCCAGGTGCATTTTGCGCGCATCCGCCCGGAAGTCCATGCCCGGCTACCACACACACCGGAAGGCATTTACGGTGGCGGAAACCGCTCCGACAAGGTGGAAGTCACCCCGTTATACCTCAATACCGAGATTGCCTGCCCTTTACCTGCGGCTGGTGTTTGTCGCATCCCCGCAGTAGAACTCAAAGTGGTGGAAGCGGTGGATGGGGAACTTGTCGGTCAGCGGGTTGTGACGCTGAAAGCCCTTGGCGCCGACCAGTTTGCGAGCTATGGACTCAGAAGGGGGGTTGGCGGCAGCAGTCTCGACAGCACCTCCCATGGACACCCAGGAAGATTTGGGGGACCGGCGCGATGCGACCGAGGGGACACGCAATGGGCGAGAGCTGCAGGTTGCGAAAGCGCGTCTTATATGTGTCAAGCAAAGATGACTGTGACCCAAGACTGGCATGGACGACGAGTAACAGCAATCAAATGGGGCCGCGGAACGAAACCAAAATCTATGGCACCGCGGGGCTGACGTCGACAAGGCGGAGACCTGGTTTTCTTGTCAGCTGAAAAAGACATGCGGCATCCCCATTCTTGATGGAATTTGTCTGGATTACATTCAGTCAGTCGGAACGGTATAAAGTTGCGGCTTAGGTAAGAGCTGGATCATGAGCACGATGGCTACGTAGCCTGTGATCAGATCCAACCCTGCCCGCTGAAGAAATCGTATAGGCGTAGCATGCGCTGCACATCCACCTGCAGATAGGGCACGGGGCACGGGCACATGACGCGGTCTTTGTGATTGGTAACAGGTTGACGAGTCACTGATAGGCTTCGTTCCTGGCCACAATGGATCAGCAACAGCATGGTATTTGCACAGCAACATACAGGGTGCATGCAAATCTCCCAGGGCAGGCAAGGCCGAGCCTGGGCTCCCACCCACCCCTAGCCCTCCAGCTGGGGTGCACCCAGAAGCCCACAGTGCTGCTCACCTTGAAGGGGAGCGCGGTGACGTCCCCCGGGGTTACAACACCACGCCTTTCTTGGACCTCCAGGACGGCAGCCTTGATGGCGAGGTACTGCGCCGGCAGGTACCGCTCCGAAGCGCAGAGGTGGCGCTCCTGCCGACGTGAGCGAGTCAGCAGTGTGTGGGAGGGGCACTGGATACTCAAGATGTGTCGTCGTGGCTGAAGCTGGCAAGGGCTCCCCATCACATCCCCGGCGTTGCAAGCACTGCCTGCTCCCATGCCCCGGCTGTCCACCTGCTGCAGCAGCACTTCGGCGTCCGGCAGCGCTGTGATGTCCAGCAGCGTTCCGCGCTTTCCACGCCACGCCGCTAGGCCCGACGTCCCTCGCCCCTCCTCCACAGTCGTGCGCTTCTGGTGCAGGGACATGGCGGCTGTGGAGGTGTGGGGATGGGTGTGTTACGCTTCGGGGATTCACGGCTGCAAGCTTTGGCAGCAGTTTGTCGTGCTTGGGCTGCGTGGCATGCGTGCCGCGGGGCCGCGGCTCCACCACCTGGCCAGAGGAGGTCCAGCTTCACCCCTCCCCCCGCAGCACCTCACCGTGTGCAAAGCCCAGGCCGGAGAGCAGGTGCTCCTGCAGCCTTGCCTCGTCGATGGGAACCCGGTTGAGCCGCATGCGTGCCGCCTGGCTGGGCGGCGCGTTTTCTGTGCAGTGTGGAGGGGGGGAGTTTAGGCTGTGCTGCAGGGAGAGGATTAGACCTCATCTGCAGAACGCAGGACTGAATGGAGCGCGGGGACCACCCAGACGCCCTCCTGGCTTTGAGTCTGGTCCCAGCCACGGCACAAAATCCCCCCAACTGCCGCCAAAACACTCCTCCTCAGTCATACCTTTTCTCCGGGGTCGATCCCCGCTGGCCTCCAGCTCATCCACCTCCTCAAAGGTGCGCAAGCCCAGCGCCCTGTACTCCTGCAGCTCCGCGATCCTGGCACAGAGCCGCGCCTCAGCCTGCAAGGATGGATGGGTGGCTTTGGGGTGGGAGGGATGGCGTGGGCAGTGGGAAGCATGCGGCGACCAGGCCAGAGTCCTACACCGCCCAAGAGCTGGCTGCAATCCACCGTGCAGGACTCCGCGCAGCTGCCTCATGCCCTGCGCAACCGGCACTCGCAACGCGCCCTCCTCTCCACCCAGCCCCCGCACCCACCAGCATGCCGTCGGCCAGCGCCTCGTACTGCGCCTGGGGCAGGTACCGTGCAAAGGCACGTAGCTGGCCGGCCATGGCGCGCTCTGCGGCGCTACGCCGCCGATCCATGGCCTGCGGGACGGGGGACCAAGCTTTGTGGGGGCAGCAGGATGCATTGGCGGTGGGGGTGGGGGCTGACACAGACGACATCAACGGACCCTGAACAAGGCACCACCATATCCTCAGGCTCATACCCATACACTTTCCAAAATAGGGGTGCCTTATCCTCAAACAGTCACAACCCCCCCTCCTCTCCCCTCTACGCACCGCCTGGCGCTTGACGTTGAGCAGGCCCCGGTCCAGGATGAAGGCCCGGCGCTGGTCACGCTCGTCCAGCCGCCGGTTGTAGATGGCAATCAGCTCCAGCTTCTGCGCCACCACCTCCTCCGAGTCCTCCTCCCTGCGGTGGGGTGTCGACAAAGCGCTGAATGGGGGTGTTTGGGGTTGGGTCCCAGGTTGGGACTGTGAGGGAGTAAGGGCATTCCCCACTCTTCACCATGTGCCTGCAACATAGGGAACCCTGGTCCCAATGAACACATTCCATGACTCCCTGTCAGCCATCAATAACCCACCTGAACTCCATCTCGGAGATGATGCACTCCGCCTCGTGGTCGTACTCCTGCTCAAACTCGTTTCGCTTCAGGTTGTACCCCGTCTGCTGAGCCTCCGCCAGCGCTACCTGTGAGGCGCGGGCGGAGAACAGGCTTGGGTAAGAGCGCGTCCCATGGGAATGCATGCCCCTGCAAAGGAGCTGGGTGGGCGGGCGCTGCGGCCTCCCCGGGCCTCGTCCCTGTGGGGCCTCCCATCCGGAGCCTCCGCAGGAAAACCTCCCGCCACACCTTGGCCCCGATCTCAGCAGGCGAGGCTGCCGCCGGGGTCCCAGCCACACCAGCCCCCAGTGGGTCCTGGAGGATGTTCGCCTCCGGCTCCAGCTTGCGCACGCTTTCCAGCGGGGCCCGCTCCGCGCTGGAGGGCGCGCGGCTGTCGGCCGCGCGCTGCGGCTGCGCCAGGTCGTGCGGCGCGGGGGCGTGCGGGCTGCGCCCGGCCAAGGCGTGCCCAGCGGCGGTCGACAATGTGCTGCCAGGGCTGGGCCTCCCGGACGCAGTCGCCCCCGCCGCGCCGTCCCCGGGCGCGTGGCGGGGCTCGGGGTTGGCAGCCAGTAGGGCGGCCGCCAGGTTCTCCGGCGCCACGCTGTGGCCTGGCCCCATCGCACCGCCGTTGGCGGCGTCCCAGGCGGCCGCGCCGGGCGTGCTCTCCGACTTGACCCTGGGCGTGGCCGCCGGGCTGGCCAGGGCGATGCGGGCGGAGGCCATCTTGTTTAGGGTGGTGCTGCGGTGGGCGTCGATCAAGGCCTGGATGTCAACACCCGCCATGGCGGGCGAGGGCTGCGGGTCGGGGAAGCAGGCGGTCTCCACGTAGACCGACATGTAATGGGCACGGGCCTCGCCGGGGTCGCGCCCCACGTGCTCTCCCACTGCCTCCCAGTTCCCCAGGCCATACAGCTCCACCCCCTCCACCAGGAGTATCTCCTCATCCGCCTGGCAGAATGGTGATGATGATCGAATTTGTGGATGTGAGTGCATGAGAGGGGCGGGCTCAAAGGGACCAGGGATGTGCCCAATCAAGGGAGCTAGTAGCCATGCAGGGGGTGGAAGCAAATTCATCACGCTCCCACACGATATACCCCAACACTTTCTGCGCACATACCGACCAGGAGTCGCTCTGCCCAGACTCACCCCCCATTCCGGGTGGTAGATGGGGAAGGACAGGTTGCCGACCACTTTGTAGGCGTGGTCGCTGCTGTGCGGCGTGATGGCCGCCCCCACCGAGAAGCAGTCCAGGCAGAGGTCGAAGTCTGGGCAGACGGCGCAGCGGATGTGCAGGGCATTGGACAGGTCCTTGTGGCAGTAGTCGCAGTGGTACAGCCCCCTCCCGGTCCTGGAGGAGGGGAGGGGTTGGCAGTGGGAGGGGTGGGAAGCGGAAGGGGGCCACCCAGAGTCCTTTAATGCATGGCCAGCTTGTAGTCGGCACCCAGCCTGTTATAGGACAGAAGTCTACCTCATCGCCGGCGCCCTAGCCGGCTCAGGAGCATCCAAGCCAATGGAAATGGCTGCTACTCACTTTTTGCCGAGCAGGGAGCGGGGCCCAGTCCCATCGTCCACCTTCCTCCGCTTACTCCTGCATGTGTCACGCCGGATACTCAAGGAGGAACAAGACAATATAGTTCCCGGAAACCACGCTCCTCCATCGGGTGCTCCTGGCCTCACCTCGTGCCGAGAGGCACCGGAGGAGCCATCGCTGGCTCCGCCCGTCCCTAGCCTGTGTGCATAAACAGCGCAGGTTCCACTGGCTTAATCAAACTTGATTTTTAGTGACGAGCTTGTGCGTGCGAAGCTTGGACGTCCGATCCGTCCTCCCACGACAGCTCATGTTTGCACCTCGCGTAAAGGTGAGCGGCTTGGTGTCTCTTCCATGACCCGGCCCTCGGATCAGGTCAGCTCGTGCATCCATTACCTCGGCTTCACCCTGCACGCCACCCTTACGAGCCCGACCCTGTATCAATTTCCTTCTTTTTCAATCAAAAAGTGCGACGCAGGTAGTGTGTAGGCTCGATGGCGTCCATGTCCATGATACGGCAACCTTGCCGTGGAGTCGAGAGGTCCCTCCAGGCCATGCCTGCCCCCATCAGGGTGCGGGAGGTGCCTAAACCGCGGGAGCCGCGTGCATGCGAGGATTCGGCGCATTACGTATCGGCCACGGCCGCGTGGGACCCCCATGCGAATCCCGGCAGCATTAGTGCCGGGTGCACTTGTGACTCGGACCCCCCCCCCCTCCCCTCCCCAGGTGGCTGGCCGCTGCGCAGGAAGGGGCGCCAGGAAGACGGGCGTCAGCCTCTTCCCACGCCGTCAGGCTCCCATGACCATCACATCGGCGGTGGGTTGGGGGTAATGGTGTGGGGAAGCACTTGACAGCACATGTGCTGGGCTGATGGGTGTGCAGCCCGCTGGATCGAATCCATGCTCGGGGCTGGCAACATCCACTCCCGCCCTCTTGCAGCTGGGTGACTCCTTGGAGGAGTACCTGCAGACCGCGACGTCTGACCCCAACCTACGCCGGCTGATGACGGCTATGTCGGAGGCCATCCGCACCATCGCCTACAAGGTGTCGGGGTGTTGAGACCCGGGAAGGCGTGCCTGGTTTTCAGTGTGCTGACGCTGCTCTTATGCTGCGCTTGGCTTGTTTTCATGCTGGCGCGCAGTGTAGCTGTCTGGAGGGCTGCGCGTTGCACACTCGACGCACCGCTCCCCTCCCCACCGCACCCCAGGTGCGCACCGCGTCGTGCAGCAGCACCGCCTGCATCAACACCTTTGGTGACGAGCAGCTGGCGGTGGACCTGCTGGCGGACAAGCTGCTGTTCGAGGCGCTGCGCTACTCCCACGCCTGCAAGTACGCCTGCTCGGAGGAGAACCCCGAGCCCCTGGATGTGGGTGGTGAGGGCTTCTCCGTGGCCTTTGATCCCCTGGATGGCTCCTCCATCGTGGACACCAACTTCTCCGTGGGCACCATCTTTGGGGTGTGGCCCGGGGACAAGCTGAAGGACATCACCGGCCGGCAGCAGGCGGCGGCGGGCATGGGCATCTACGGCCCCCGCACTGTCTACTGCATCGCCCTGGCTGAGGCGCCCGGCTGCCAGGAGTTCCTGCTGCAGGACGACGGCAAGTGGCTGCACGTCAAGGAGACGGAACGCATTGGTGAGTCCTAAAGTTTGGGGTGGGGGTGGGGGTGCACGGGGAGTCTCTTAGCAGGCACATTATTGCATGGGGTGGAGGGAAATGATCTGTGGGACGGGCTCCCCAGGTAAGCACTAGGTGAGCCGTCGCGAGACTATCAAACCAGGATGAGTCGAGCACCTTCCGATACAGGAGGGGTGAACTTCTGGCTGTCGGTGACCTGATACGAAAGAGCCCTGGTGCACCCCCTCCCTCTGGTGTTCACTGCCTGCCTTCCCCTGAGCCATGGTTACAT